CCAGGAAGTGTTATTCCTTCTTATGCTATTTTCTGGGACTCCTGCAACTGTTGTCCTCCTTGCATGTGTTTAAATTTCCTCTCTTTAACAGAGCAGACGGTGCTGGAGCAAATACCAGAGTGTACAGTACATTCTGCCTCCAAGGCAGGAGCAGATACTGCATAACAAATCATTTTCCTGTGTGGGATGGAGCCACCACTGCCTTCCCTGCACACACATGATCAGTCCCTTCCTTATTATTCAGATAGTAGTTCTCTCTATTCAGAGGGATATCCAGAGACAGAATTACACCTCCCACCTAAAACTTCCAGTTTGAACCCATGCCAAGCAATCCCTGTGGAAATTTTATTCTAACAGAGACTAATTTAGAAGTCACCATTATAAACTAAATTCACTTCTAATGCACTCCTGGCTCTACACAAATCCCTCCTAGGTGTAGGATATCCAGGCTGGATGACTCCAAGTCATAGAATGACTCCATAGCATGGAGCCAGCATCTGGCAGAATCTGAAAGACCTCTGAGTGTTGCTATTTGTCTTTTCAAGCAGAAAACCCATCCTTTATCTTAATCTCTTGTATAATATTATTACTTTGTAATAACTATCTCTCTTCAAAATTGCTCCACTGAATGTATTTCTCTCTTGTCTTAATTTCTCAATTATCCCCTATTCCCTCATGAATTCTGAATGTATTACATACAAAATGCCCAAACCCACAAACCCTAAATCAGAGAAATTATGCTGATGCAGCAAAACCATGTCTGCTGGAAGCAAATAAGGCAAAAAGCCCAATTTCATTGGTTTATAGAGAAATGAGTAGGAGAATAGTGACATTAATATTTGAAACCCCATCTCCCAATCAGAATGCAACTCAGATGCATAAGGATTAAGCTCTGGTTGACTGATACTTGAGGTGCATTAGTGTAGCTACTTAAAACTGAGTAATTCCATCAAAGGCAAAGTTCCTCTGTTTGAAGTTAGACACACAAATATTGAGCAGCATCAGCTCAAAGTTGCCATGACATGAATAACGCACCAATGTCCCTACACCATTAAAGCAACAGTCAAGAGTTTGCTGAGTGTTTTTCAGAATACTTGAAATGGAAATAGAACTCATTGTACTGTTTTTAAGGCCATTTCCTTCAATTGCTTGCATGTTGATGAAGAATCAACTCAAACATACATGGTAAAAAAGAATAGTAGAGAGAATGTAAATTTGGCCACATGAAACTACAGATATGAATATTTAATGCAGATTTCTGCAGGGTGGCTGTAAATAGGGGTAGGCAGGGTATGATCCAGTGTGGACACAAAATACAGTGCAGCTCTGAAAGGTGCTGGGTGAATGAAGGGTTTGGTAAACCTCAACCATTCACCTAATAATAACAAATGTGCACTGGATAGCCAGACAATCACTGTGAAGTGGCAACACGATGTGTTAGAAGTCTGCATTCCCATCACACTACCATACCTGTTCAAGAAACAACGGGTGCAATAACATCCAACAGTATCAGACCTCCTGAGCATATCACCAGCATTTTTTATGCAGCAAAAATATAGCAGGTGATACCCTTCATTAAGAGACTACTTGCCTGACCCTCCATCATGACATCTATCAGGCCTCCTGTGGTCCTGGCACTTGCCCATTGTTAAGTCTCATCTAATCCCAACACTCAAAGAAAAGCACTGACTTCAAAGGTTGCAGGGCATGCAGCTGCACCAGGGCCTACCTGACCAAACAGGTCATTCTTCAGAGTCATCAATCCCCTGTTTAAACTAGCATGCTTTAGGATTTACTTGGCTTGTATCATTTTTTCAATCAATTAGAGCATTGGGGGGTTAGGGGTTTTGTCTACTCCTTTTTTTAATAAAAAAAAAATTTAAAAGTAGAAAAAAAAAATATATGATGGGTTTCACTCTTTAGTTATCTATTTCCTAGCTACCTGTACCAAGAACAAAGAAAAAACCTTAAGAGGCTTTGGGTATTTTTCTTTTGAAATTTGGGATCTTCTAGCAGTACTCTTTCCCTTTCTGTGCCAATTAAAATGGCTCTGTTTTGTAACTGATACAGGTGCCTTTAACACGTGTCCTCAAGAAGGACCATTGTGTGCAGTTACAATTGCTCAATAGATGCCCAGTCCCAGACAGATGGTGCTTTATCTTCACCCACTTGCCAAATGCATTGCCCTGTCAGGGATTAATGGAAGTGCCACTCACATTAGATGCTAATTCTGGTACAAGTCTGTTAGAACAGTACAGATGCTACAGCTACTGTTTCCCACTAGTGCTTGTAGCAGTCAGTCCACACTGGAGCAGAAGCAAGATATTCAGAAACCACGGTGAGGAGCACAATGCAAAAATATATGCAGAAAGCAACCCTGTGGTCAATGGGAAAGAGTAATTTAAAAAGCAAGAAGATGATTTAAAAAAAAACATGGAGAAACAGAAGAAGAGAAAGTGACAACTGAATATTAAAGCAGACAAAACAAAGACCAGGAACCAAGAGGAAGGTTAAAACAAAAGACCTAACATAACAGAGAAACAGCCTTTTCTCAGTAATCATCAACACATCACCATCAGAAAATCAGTGCTAGAATGGTGTCCATAATAGGGAAGAGTAATACAGGACAGAATGTAGATACAATGCAGGTACATTATTCCACTGTTGGAATATTCATATTTCCTCACTATTAGCCCAAAGCATTATTGCCTTATAAAAAAAAAACCCGAATGTTTAACATATTGAATAGATACACAGCTGAGTACTGATTATTAATCAACATATAAGGCTCAAAACTGATTCCAAGATACATACTCCAAGAATAATATGTCAGGAGACATTTGCATAGACACTATAAAGGACAGGCAATTCAGAGAAGTTTTCAGCTCTCTCATGAACCTTCTTTTTTGTTTAGATAAGAGATTTGAGATCTAAGGCTAATTTGAGATGTCTCTGCACATGCAGTCTCAGTAGACTGAGAACTTTCTAGACTCTAAAGAGCTTGTGCTGCAGCACTTTTGTTGCATTTTCTTTTTTGTACTGTGCCCATTTACCATGGTCTGTAGCTGGCATAGTGGGATAGGAGAAATCCAAGTATTGGACCCTTCTTTCTGAAAAGTCACTGGAGACTGGGAAATCTTTTGCTCTTGAGAGAAGCTCTTACATATTTATATGGATGACAAACCTAGTTAGATACTCCATGATCACAAAATTTCTAATAACTGGCACTATCATGTCACTAATTGGTCAAGGCCTTTCACTCTGCATTTCAAAAGAGATTGCTTGTGAGAGAAAGGGAAGAGGCTATTCAGAGATGTTGATCAAACCTGAAAAGTCAAACCATGGCAGCAGATAGTAGATGGCAAACAGGAAGGTTTTGTGAAACACTAGAATAGTACAAAAATAGTTGAAAGAAGGAAAGCATTTTGACAGCATGAAATACTAACCTTTAAAGATACACAAGGAAATGCATTTATACCATCTGTTGCTCCATTAATAGATAAAGATGAAGCAATAGAGTAAATGCAAGAGAAATGAAATAGCAAGAGCAGCCTATCACTAACAAGTTTATGTACTGAGATGCAGCTTGAATCCAGTCCCTGGAATAGTATATTAAACCATAATGATTTCAAATCTCTTCTGAGAGTTGGAGACATGTTAACTTCTCACAAGTGTCCTGTACTGCAGATTAGAAGCTGTAGTCATAGTAAAAAGCAGATGAACTATTAAACAGGAAAACTCCATCTGGTTCACAAAATCAATGAGCTGTAAATCATAAAAATCGAATAGGGCACACCAGGAAATTAAACCTGTATACTCTGCCAGTCTCGTACTTTTACTTTTCACAGGGTCTGCTGCTACCAGACACTAGGAATGGACTAGATGGGCTAGATATATCTTTGGTCTTGTGTGTTTGTTCTTTTTTATGGCTTTCTTTACAACTTTTGTTACTGAGAAAGGACTTGCCAAGGAGATTGAAGAGAGTTTATTAATGACAATATGTTTGACATCCATTATACTGGACGGAAAACCTTGGCTGGAGCCAAGGACAATGTAGGTTGATACCTAACTAGGCACTCCACACTCCAAGTGAACTTTCTTGAGTAATGCTTATGGTATTGGCCAGAAAATGTTCTGATTGTGTGACTGCATACAAATTGGATGCCAGAAGAAAATAGATATTTCTTTTTTGGACCACAATAGAAGTCCCAGTTCAGAGCCACATGATGAACTTTCTCCTCTCAGGCAGTCTCCCTTTTTTTGTTCCTCACTTCTTGTGCAACTCTGGCAGTGCAATTACCACCCCTTCACACTCTGGATTTCGGTACCTATGTAGCCATTTACTGATGTACTGTAGATGGACTTAAGTTTGCCACATAATTAAGCAGCTGGTCACCCCAAACTGCCTCTTTAGTCCATAGGGAAAGATCAGATCCTTCAAGTCTCCCTCACAGCAAGCATATTGTCATAACCTGCAACTCCTGCTACTCAAGCTGTGAGATTTTTCCATGTAGAAGAACCTAGGTGCACTGAATTCCATACTGTATTAAACTGACTGGGTTACTGGTAACCCAAGATAATGTGTGTTCAAGCATTTAAAACACAGTGCACTCTCCTCTCAGTGACAAAAATGCTGTGCTATGAGAGTCGTAAAAGGTGTGGTTATCTTTACAAAAAACATGTACCATCCTTTAAGCTACACATAATTTTCCACAAGTGAAGCTCTACAGAGTTGGATGAATAAACTCTAAACTCGTGCAATACTTCCATTTGATTAAGCAAGATTCATTTTACAAATAACTCAACAACTTCTGTCAGTCCCAATTAAACTAACTAAATGATCAAGCACTTGATGTCTAAGGTTGAACAAAATTTCATCATCAAAGTTTCATTTTTATGAAAAACATTTTTTTCCACCACAACCGTGTTAAAACAGGGCTTACTTGCTAGTCTTGGTCTCATTTTTAATATGCTGTTACTATGTGTAAAGCAGATCTTACCTTGATCTTCTGAAGAAACCGGTGACCTGGAATAAAACAACAAAATCCAGTCAATCTTTGGTTTAAAAAAAGGTCACAAATCAAGTTTAGTCTCAGTCTGGGCAATGTGATATGGAGCAATTTGAAGTTTTTATTCTTTATTCCTTAGAAGAAAGGACTGAAAGGCATCTGACCAAGAAAAAAAAAAAAAAAAAAAAAAAAAAAAAAAAAAAAAAAAAGCTGAACTGGCTATCTAGCAGCAGACTCTGCAGGCCAGAGTGACCATATGGAGCCACCTCTGTGAGGACTGATGCCAAGACTGTCTGTAGATCTGTAGATACTTGGCAGAAACTCATCTGCTACTGCCACTGCCAGGACAAAACTTCATAACTAGGGGTAATCAAGGAAATAACATCTTGGCAGGAACTCATAGTGATTACAGTGACCATGTTTTCGCCATAAATCAATGTATTGGTTAGCATAAAACAGAGGTTATAATTAATAACAATTCACGCCATCCTCCCAAAAGTAACACGACAGATAAAAAAAAAATATTTCTGTAAGTACTGGAAAAAGCAACATACCAGCAGCAACACAAGAGTTGTAGAATACCCTAACCAGTGGATAAGGACTCTCATAATACCCTGTTAGGGGTGGGTTTTTCTTTTTGTTTTTCCCCTCTCCTCCCTGGAATTTTTTCCCATCGACATGCTAAGACGGCTAGTGATGGGGGGTGAAGAAGACTCCCTGTTCCTTTTGGAGTTTCTCTCGCAGGGCGGGGAAAAGGGGGGAACACTGCGAGATCAGGGGGCAGGAAAAGAAGCTGGGAGCAACTGCTCTCGCCCTCGCTCATTTGGCTTGGAAAGGAACGACCACTGGAAAGACCTCGCGCTGCCATCCCAACGCCGGAGCTGCCTTTCCTCGGCTATGAGACCCCGCAAGCCCCTGCTCAGACGCCCTCCTGCCTCAGCCCGCCACCTCCACGCATCCTGTTAGAGTATCGGGACCAACACTGCCCCAAGAATCCATGAGCAGGGCCTCCCCTCTACCCTTCCCTAAAATGCAGCCGCCAGCACCCCCAGTGTCCCTGCAGCCACGTGGGATCACTGCATCTCCCCCTGCTCACCGGGACGGTGACTGCACCACAGGGAAAAGGTGTCCACAACCGAGAGAACTGTTACTGGATTTCTGTTCTGTTTGTTGTTAATTTCATATTTGTTGTTGTTGTTGTTTTGTTTGCCTAGTTATATATACATACATATATATATATATATTATATATCAGTAAAGAACTGTTATTCCTACCCCCATATCGTTGCCTGAGAGCCTCTTAATTCCAAAATTATAATAATTTGGAGGGAGGAGTTTACATTCTCCATTTCAAAGAGAAACTCCAGCCTTTCTTAGAAGACATCTTTTCAAACTAAAACATACCCCAAGAGAGGGAAGGAGTTATTAAAACACAGGTGCCCTCTCAGTGTCCTTGCTGATAGAGAAGAATCCCAGTGAATTCCAGGGATTTATGTCACAGTTCCCACCACTAAGGATCACACTCCTCACGGTTTTGGTCATCACCTAGAACAAAGGAACACAGAAGTACTTCCCCTCCATTTTTCCCTTTGCTGCAGTAGTGTGGCTTAGCAAAACTGAGGCTAACATTGGCACTGTATCTGGGATGTACGTTCATTATTTAGACCAGACTGACATCACATAGTCCAGACTGGACCGCTCCTCAGCACTTTCCCAGCACAGATTCCAGTTGCCTTCACAGCCTTCCCACCCAAGTAACAATGTGTTTGTTCCTGCAGTGAGTGGGGGACCCCTTATTTCCTTTCCAAGGTATTTAATTTCACAACAATGTACAAAAATAACAAATTAGAAAAGATTCTAAAATGTTAGTGTTGCCAGCAAACAGATCAAAGCCAGCATAAGAAAAGCAGCCACAGAGGGATGAAGGGAAAAGAAGGAACAAAGGAGAAAAGAGCATATGTATATTTAACTGAGTCAGCAGGGCCTGAGAGCTGGAGGAAAGGAAAAGAAGTGAAGGAACCCTGGGTTAGAGGAGTAAAGAAGCTGAGGAACGAGCCATGATCTCATTTCATAACAAGGGTTTGAAAATGAAGGTTGGGAAATTATAGGACATCAGAAGCAGATATGCAAATACGTAGATGCAAACAGGAAAAATTGAAAGGAGGAAGCTTTCCTGCCAAAGTATGTAATTTTTTTGCTGTAAAATAGAGAGAGATTTGCAAATAAAGAGAGGAAAGAGTTAGAGCTCAGCTGGAGAAATGGTCACTGTGAAAGGAAAAAATTTGCCTAATCAGGATTCTGGCTGCACAAGAAGCCAGTGTGTCTGTATGGATCAGAATTAATTAATCCTCTACTCCCATTAAAGGCTCTGATTGCTGCTTAACATTCTAAGCATGTATCCTGCTCTGCTGCCAGCCAGGGAAGCTCTGCCCTCAACCTTCAGCCACGTGTGTGGAGATACAGCAGGAATGCAGGTAACTCAAGGGATTTAGAAGGCACCACTAGAACAATCCTGCTTTGACCAGTTAGTTACAGATTTTTGTCCTTAACTCCTAGCAGAACCCCTTCTGAAGATCAAAACCCACTGCATTTTCTACAAGTTTAAACAATGCAGAATAGGTCATATCAAGAGGTGAAAATGTTTAAATACTTGAAAATATTTTTACATGCAAGAGTCATGCAAGGTTCCTTGATTCAGGTATCCTGACTCTCCACCCATTGCTAATGCAGTATTCCACTACATCAGCAGAATTTATTCCTTTGTTTTGCTTCTTAATTGCCCAGTTTCATCACCTTTCAGTTCTTTCTTTGAAACAATAAAATAAACAATGCAGATTATCCTATAATTTTGCTTTTCTTTATGCTTGGTAAAACAGATGTCCTTAGCTCCTTAAAGCATCAACAACAGAAGAGATGCTATTACAATACCAGTGCCTTCTAAATTAAGACATTTATTGAAGGGAAGGATGAAAAATATGTTTATGCATTTTTTGTGTCCCTAAATTTACTATATATTTTTCAAAATACTACTGCCTTTTTGCTTTGTTGCATGCCTCGAATACAGTGTTTGTAAGAAATTTAACACTACTACTGCTGCTACTATCAGTGCTTTTATTTGAAAGGATCCAGCGAATAATTGTGTAGCATGGTATCCTGAGAAAACAAGGTTCATAAAACCTCATTTATATCAGTTTCATCAGGTTCATATCAGTACCTTGATGTGTACATATGCACCTCTCTGTCTCACCCTGAAAAACTCTGAGTTTGTTGGCTCATTTCATCCCTTGTTAATTGACAGAGAGTCAATTCCTGCTTTCACACAGCAGGAAACAAAATAGCATAAGCTCAACTTTTCGGATGTCATGAAGAAAGGTTTTGAATATCCCAGCCACAGGAAAAGCCTCAATGAGAGTTTCCACCACTGGAGGTACCAAAGGCTCAACCAAAATAAACTGGGCTTCCTTTGTTCCACTACTGACATTAAGTATTTTGGCAAACAGTGGAGAGGACTTTCAGCAGCCTCCTACAATTCCAGGCCATACAATTTAGGAAGGGGGGGCTTTCCCAACTGCTCAAGTCCTGTCCCAACTACATCAAGAGGAGTCTTGTTTGTAGCTATGATGGAAGTAGGTGAGACTGTGAAAACCTCCACACTAAATAGAATTGGGCATTTTATGCACTGACTCGTCCACCCCATGCTTATGACAGGCTCTAAGGAAGGAAAGAGAGAAAGCCTAATGACCTGCTCTACACCACATCCACTCACTCCACAGCCACAGGGGGCTTTCCTGACACGAAAAAAAATCCAGTAGATGCTCATCTGTAGGTCACACGTCTTTCTCTCAGGTCTGTAAGAAGTGTGAGAGATATACTGTGGCAGCACTGGTCACCAGACAGGTGTTCCAAGAAAGGAGGACTCTCATCTGCTAACATCCACACAGGAACCATCTGTCTAATATCAGCTAGCCTCTCAGTATGATTCTGGCTATGTGTTTTACTGTTCATAAAGAAGCAAGTTATCATCTTCACAGCCTCCATGCCTTAGAAAAATCAGAGACAAGTCAGAGATACTTCAGGAAAACCAATATACTGTCAAGATCTGTGGTCTCACCTGGGTCAAAACACTTTACCAAATGACATCTTGAGATTTTCATTTGGTTAAGCAAAACAGAAAAATCTTCAGGAAAAGGTTCAGGCGCTGCAATATCCTGTTCCTGGCCATTTCAGAATGGAATAACTTTTTTCTTTATATAAATATACATATATATATATATATATATATATATATACACACACACACATACATCAACTGGGTTTTTCTTCTGGTTTTACCTTGGTGTAAAATTAACTTGTAGAAAGAAGGGGTCACCATCTCCTCAAGAGAGTAAAGGAAGGCCAGATTATCTGTGACTGGCTACATCTCCAGAATAATGAGATTCAATTATCTCTTCTACCAATAGTTATTTTCCCATGCATAACTGAAACTGGGGAGTGTGATTTCAGATATTTTCACCAAAGGCTTCAATCTGACTTTCCTCCTGCTCTGGTTTTACAAACATCTATTGCTGCAGCAGATACTTCAACTAAAGACATATTTCTGTGATAGGGACGAGGATCAGAAGGGAGGAGGAAGAAAAGCATGCTGTCAAGAAAGGTCTTATCACATCTGTTTGCTTTCCATGCTGTTCATAGCCCTCCTTTCTTACAGGTCCTGTTCTGTTGCAGAGTATCAAGCTCAGCTTAGAGGGACAACAGAACTAGCAAGCCTCAGTCTGTGAGGGGAAGCTGTGCAAGGTCTGTTCCACCACCCCTTACACAAGCAAAGCAATACCCTTTGGGCTTTACATAAAACCCGCAAGCATCTTCCAGAAATCCAGGTACACATATGTAAAAATGCACTAAAAATGGTGTAAAAAAAGCCTGATCATACATACATACACTAGATGCATCCAATAAATTGGAATACTTACAATATTGAAGGCATGAGACCTGCGCACCTAAAACCGAGACAGGCCTCC